GCCGTATGGATTACCTTCGCAACACGGTATGTACACTTTGTTATTAGTATTCCATTTTTATTCTGACACGACTGCACCTCACTGTCGATCGCTATAACAGTTCGTGGGTCGCAATGCCGGTTTAACCTTTCTTTGCCAGTTGTCACGTCAGCTGCGAATCCAACACTTCGATCAAACGCGCACGTCCACTCCGAGTGTGAACAGGTATTTCGTGGCTCTTGCTGACGTACAGCTCGTAGTTCAAACGTATCTTATTTAACGTCGGCTCGCTCCTGCATCTCCGAGGCCGCGAAAAACGCCGCGGCAATTTGTTTCCATCTGCGGGCCGTCTTTTACCAACGATGACAGTTGTGTTGACTTCGTAGCGATCGAGTTCGTAGCAGTCAGTGGGGGCGGTTACGCATCCCGGCCTCGGCATTCGGGCGTGTTTAAATCGTGTTAGCGTCGACATATCACTGCACGGACACAAACCCCAGACAAGCGGTGGCAGAAAGGCTGCCTGTGTTTGTTATGAAAAATCCACGTGCTCCGAACGGCTCCGAACAAATGCCGAGCTCTCCGATTGGTTGTTCGTACTGCCGAAGACGCCGTCGCCATAGCAGCAGCACCGGTAAGTTTAGTTTTTCCGTACGACAACGTCGCTTTCCTCCTCTCAGTTAAGAACGCGTTCGTGAATACCGATTTCTCCTCATCTTACGATGTTCTTAACTTACGAACTTCTTAGCTAAGTTGTCGTAAACTAAGAAGCTCTTCGTGAATCTGGCCTCAGCTCCGTCCCCAGCAGCAGACCGGCTCTCGAAATGTCAAATTAATGGGTGGCTGCTGCGAAGGTCAGTTGATGTGATCTTGGTCTCGGAAACCTCTGTCCGGAGATTTCGTTTTGTGGCTGCGCTTTGCGAGGGGAAACCGAGTTTGAATAGGATCATCCCCCGAACTTCTTTTCCTCTCCTCTTCCCTTTTCTCCTTCGACCGCGACCGCGACACAGATGCTCAATGCTTTCCAAAAAACAAACGTCCAAATAAAAAAAAAATTAAAACCATAATTCAAAAACAACAACAGGTGCCAGGTTGACGTCCCCGCAATAGAAAAAATTGCGGGGACGCGTTGGAGGTTTCCTTCATAGAGTTATTACAATAAACGCTAGAGGCTCAGCTGGCGCTAGTGTCTATGGGACTTCCGGTTGCAAATTGAAGCAGACAGCAGGCAGTCTACTTTTCCGGTCTTCCTGTGTATTCCTATGGGAAAACGCGCGTGAATTTTGTCTCGTCGCCGGAAAATAACATTAGTAACTTTCGTTATTTCGGTTATACCGGGTAGTATGTATACCTTTATTAATATTGTGAAAGTGTAATTGCTCTAGTTACGGCATTCTTCCTTTACAACTGAACGATGCTAAACTTCACTATATTTCAGGCCCAAACCTCTCTTTCATGGCAGGTATGTAAAAACGAGCGACGATTCTAAGCAAAATAACGATCGAAAGGAATGTAGAGTGTGTTCAAAGTTCGCCAGCATTCCGTTGGTGCTTATATATTGCTAATATGCCTGTCCTCTCACTATATGAAAATGACCCCGCCGCGCATCTTTACGAGTGGTTAAAAAAAACGTTCGAAATGTAAAGAATAAAGTACGTGGGCTAACAAAGGTGTGTTTTCTTATTATTTCCTATGTGGGGCAGTTTTTATCGCGCCCCTGTCCTCTGGCTTCCCCCTATTTGCAAAGATTTGGAGCGTGCTGGTGATGATTTGAACACAGAACAAGCATCTTCGCACATATTCATGAGCAGAAAGAATAAAGCAGTACTTATTTATTGCAAATCGGACTATATTACGTGACTTTCAACTCATTTTGATCGTCTGCAGGCACAAGGAGTTACTTACCCAGTGTTACTGCGTAGTTCTTGCCGTCTCTCTTCGTTTTCCACATGTCGTTCGTTCGTTTGGCACGTATATCCCCCATGCTGGAAAGCGTCGACGCCGTGGTCGCGCTAACAGTTGTGGGAACCGTTGGGTTCCCTCTATCCCTATCTAGGCCTAGCTTCAAGCAGGCCGTGGGAGTCGTCGTCACCAATGGCGTCGGCCTCCCGGATACAAGGAACCACGAGGCCGAATTCCCCGAAGGGGCCGGTTCTCCCTTGCCCTTTTGGGTGAACGCGCCATCGGCACACCCTTGGGAGTGATTATGGACGCGTCCCGTTTTCGAGTGACCTTCTACCGGCCTCCCCGGGCGCGTCTATTTCCCGCAGGCTACATAAGCCGGCCACCCACCTGTAGCCGGGGCTCTTGGTTAGGGGGGGCTACGCTCGACGGAGCATTCATCGTTATTTTACTGTTCCCCCTTTTCCGTGATCCTGCCAGTTAAGGCAGCGCGGACCTTTCTCCTGGTGATCCTGTCAATTAAGGCTGCGCCAACCTCATTTCTCTTTTGTTCCGCCTACGGGCGCAAAGCGTGTGGCGTAAGCCTAATAAACACGTTTCTACGATATCCCTGTGTTTCGTGTGGTCTCCCGTCCATCGGAGCCTAACGGCAGGCAACGGACGGACCCGGCCGTAGCCGCCATAGCAGCGACCTAAGGAGTGGGTGTTGCCTCACAGCGATCAGCAAGGTAAGTCGAAACCCGCTTTATTGCAACCGACGAGTTAAGTAGTGGGTATTTGCCTCACTGAGGACTTTGGGGTAAACTAGAATCCGACAACTGGCGCCCCAACGTGCGGCCCGTCCGACGTCAGCAAACAAAGCAGCACGTTCGCAATGACAGCGAACCAGGCCAATTTCCGGGCACCATGACAGAACAGCACACGACAAAATAGCACGCGACAAAACAGCACGGTCAAAACAGCACGCGTCAAAACAGCACGACGACAAAACAGCACGCGTCAAAATAGCACGCGACAAAACAGCACAGCGTCACAACGGCAAAGCGACAGAAGAGCACGGCTTCAAAACAGCACGGCGTCAAAACAGCACGGCGTCAAAACAGCACGGCGTCAAAACAGCACGGCGTCAAAACAGCACAGCGTCAAAACAGCACAGCGTCAGGACAGCACACCGTCAAAACAGGACATTGACAATATAGCTAGGGTTTCGTGTTTTCGTTTTTTTATTATTTTGAAATTGAGCGTACATTTTTCGGTTTTTATTCCAAGCGTTAGTTTTCGGTTTATTGCTCTGAATATTTGTAGGCTCATAAACTTTCCGGTTCCTTTCGTTTTATTGACGAAAACCAGTTTACTGACGAAAATGCAGTATTTAAAGGCGTTTGTTTAAAATTAATAGTGAGTAAACCAGGTACTGGATTTCTCATTTGTTGTTGTGTGTGGCAGCCGACGTGACCTATCGTGATCTGACGTTATCGCCGTGGGCTCGTATTTGTACACAGGACGAACATGAGCTTTCTACCATTTCGGTCAAACAGGCAAACATCAAAATCCAAACATTTACAAGCATTGTACTCAGTGCATCTTTCCCCCACTTTCACGACTGCGAGAGGTGGCTAATTCGCGCAGAACAACAAACGAAAATAAAGCAATCGCATTTATGCCCTCCTCTAGTAGACCAGCTACGGGTGTTAAAAAATGTGCGGCATTTACGGATGGCCTTTAATTTCATTGTTCAGTTCACAATTAAACTTTCTTCTTTCAAGAATGAATTGTGCACACAAATCCCTATCAGGTGAAAAACCCAGACTTCGTCCTGAAGACCATTGTGTCGGTGCACTTTTTGTTGAAAGTTAAACCGATCTCGGAGACAAGCCGTAAATTGCGAAAGCAAGGGTCATACGGTCAGTAATGAGGCGCATTCCCCCACACACCCTTCCAAACGCGCTCGAAAATACTGACCTTTTTCAGTTAAAACCGAATTTGCAAAAAAGATTTCGTCGTAATTCTACCGGTGTTATCAGTTTAAGCCGAAAACGCTGAACCCTAAATATTGCAATGGAGTTAAAAAATGCATGTCTCAAAGTAAGCTCTGTAAAGAAATGGAGGGTCTAGGCCAGTTCCTCGAAGGTCAACTCGACGACGGCCAATTTGTCGAATCGGTTCTGATGGGAGCAAGTTGGGAGTGGTGAGTATACTCGATGCGCACATGAAGGCTCCCTGGGCAGTACCGAAGCCCACGCTGGTGCGTATTCTGGCTATTTCTCGCGCAGTTCTGCTAATATTGACGCGCAAGTTTGCTGGTCATGTCGTCTGCAATAAATGAATCAATCACACGTAAATGTGGTGTTGTTAGTTGTTAAAAAAAATCAAACAGAATGTGTGTGCGGCAACGGTGTGCTTAGCTCATGCTGTGCGGCAACAGCATTGAGGCTGTGGCATGTTTCTGCTTCACCTGTTTCCACTCGATCGAGGCCCTTCGTCGGCAATAATCTGTGAATTTAACTCACAACAATTTCTCGCCTGCAAGTTGCAGCCGCGTGTTTCCGGGACATTTTATTCACGGCGAATGAACCACGCAGAATCGTTGCCCATTGTACACCTTCAATTCGCTTGACATTAAAGTTACTTTATCTTAACGGTTCTATCAATGCATCTGTAATCGGCGCATCTCCCGCTTTTTTGGGGGGAGGTTTTACGCTTAGGTGGTAATTACGAAACGACGAGTACTACGGAACCTCTCTGGACCACCGTAAACCAGATGGTTCATATCTTGAACTTATGAATTTCTGTTTCTCAATTACGTTTCCTCTTTCGCCGGTTCTAAAAAAAAAAAAAAAAAAGACCGGACAACGCGGTTACCATCGACGCGAAGATATCACCTCTAACTACTCAATCTCTTCAGACATCAGCTAAGTTAGCAGTAGTAACTACTGCTAACTTCGTTTGTTTTTAACAATCACGAAGCAGCACCGGTCGGGGAACCCACCACTTTCCGAGTTTCCGGTTCGAGGGTAACCCGAGGCACATGTTGCCAGGCCGGATTAGTGGCGTAGGAAAACAAAGTCTCCATCTTGCGCTAGTGTGAGGCTCCCGGCAGCATCCCGACGTCGTTCGATACGATGCCGACGCACTGTGTCGCGTTTGGGTGTCGAAACTGGCATCGGAAGGGGGAGGGGAAGAGCTTCTTTTGCTTTCCCTCTGCGAAATTCGACCCAAATCGAAGAGCGGCGTGGGTAAACGCGGTGAAGCGGGCTCACCCGACAGACCCGAGGAAGGCTTGGGAGCCGAGCCAGCAGTCCCGATTATGTGGGGCGCACTTCGTCACTGGTAAGTCGCTTCAATCGCAGCTGAGAAAAACAAACACAAAGCGTTGGGTAGTTGCATGATCGTTACATTTCCGCTCTATCAAACAGGAAAACCGTCGCTGGATAGGCACCACCCGGACCATGTGCCGACTATCTTTGCTCACCGGAAACAGCAGCCATCTCTCGATCGCTACGAGCGATGGAAACATCGCGGGTCCACTGAAGGTACGAAGTGACGATGGTCATAAAGGCGCGTTCACGCTGTGGAATTTTACTCGCGTTATGAATTCGCCGTCTGAACAAGACAAGAAAAAAGACGTGCGTCTCGTAAAAAGGATGCGCGCGTTCATCGCTTCTGGAGCGACCTTTTCTAATGCCAGTTCTTGGAAATGTATGCCCGCCGACGTTTTTGTTGTGTTTGCGCTTATTAACTCCTCTGCCTGACGACGGTTGATCGGTATTGACTGGACTTTATAATTGTGCGCATATGGAAGCGCGAAATCTGCCTATATAACAGTCAGTGCACCAACTAGCCATTTTACATGACGAACTCATCTAATCGCGAGCTAGTAGTATTAAACAGCATCTTCTGGTTTGTGTGTGTCCTTGCTCGTCAACCTCAAACAAGCATAACCTTGCGCGTTTCATTTTCCAGTAAGTCCAAGTGGCCTGTACCAAACTGAGAATGTGGGCAAATCACCATAATCACACTCTAGCTTTACTTGTTTCGCCTCTGATATTGTATGTCATCTTCAAACAACGAACCAGTACGAAGTGCTGGTTCTGCGTGCGTGCAGCAGGGAGCATCACAGCCAGCAGCCCAGCCTTCTGCAGCAGCAGTACCCTCCTTGGCCCTTGCTAAGGAGCTCCCAGTTGCCGACCCCCTTCCAGAAGGTTCCGGCGGTAACCCATTCCCGTGCTCAATCTCAACGGGTATTTCGAACGTAGAGCCACTGCCCGAAGGTAAGGATCGACTACTAACTCAGTCATTGCTACTAAATTATTATTATTAGATGCGGGGCTTATTCCCTTGCCTTGTTTTCTTGAGATAGTGTTCGCAGGACCCAGTGAAAGAATGTTAGGTGACACACCATCCTGAGATGATGCCGACAGAGCACCAGACCATGCGGAGGACACAAATCTAGCCACATTCTACTTCTACAATTTTTTTTAGGAACAGATATAATTTTATACCTGTTTTCACATCAAGAACCGTAGTAAAAAAAGTTCGCCGCCTTGTGGAGCATTACTGATTTCCACCTTTATGTAGAGAATTAAGATATATGTAGGTGCATTCTAGATTAGATGTATGTTATCTTATCAAGACGTACACATTCCAAACTCCAAAAAGCGTTGCTTTTTTCTCTGATAACTAAATCTTGTAAGAACTACTTTGCCCTGCGTATGAACAATGCGCAAGACTCGCTTTTCTCTTGAGGTGAAAACAGATGTAGGTGCGACACACTTAAAAAGAGAAACGATTTAGACATTGCATGAGTGAAGTAAACATTCAAGAATGCTAGCACTAATCATTTCACATCCCTGAAGTAGAAAAGTAAAATAATTGCTTCTCTAAAATGCTATGCACCAATAGTGCAGACGGGCACGAGCAAACACGTAGGCAAGAATGTTTCCCTTCCAAGTGCTGTCATGTTGTCGTTGCACCGAATAGCTCGTCTCTTCGAGGACGTGTTGGTACACCATCGGGACATGCGTCTAGACCGCTGCAACCACGGTAGCACTCCACATGCACAATGAATTTTCACTCAGTCTGCCATGCCACGCCAACGTTGATCTCTGGCAAAGTGCTTGCCAGCGGGTCGCGGCCGCCGGGCATACTTGTGACAGCTCTCTTCTTGAAACGTGATTGGTCGCTTCGTTCAGTCGCTCGAGACGCAGCATAGAAGTTTGACCCGATCCTACTTGCTCCGTTAGAAACGACCGGGTGCTTGGTGCTCCGTTGCTATGACAACTCATCGTTGCAACATTGTTGGAGTTTGTAAATGTTCTGGCTGCCCCAAATGCAGATGCGTGAACGGGCCTTTTTTCATCTACGCTCATTGGTTCAAGAAACCTGCATGTGACCACGACTTCAGTTTTTGTCTTTTGACTTGTCAGCTGGCCCATTGCCTTTGTCTGATATGATTATAGCAAGTTGCTCTAATCATACTCCAGGGCCCGTTTGCTCAAAGCGCTAGCCGCGGCTAAAGTTAGCCGCAGTACCTAGGAGAGGGATTTTGAAATCCCGTGACTGGCTCGGTAGGAATGCGGGGAAACATGGCGGCACCCCAGTGAGTAAGCGCCGCTCGCTTTGGAAATAATATATCGTTGTAGCTGCAATATCGGGCGTGTTAGTCAGCAACTAATGGTGCAGGAGGCTTTCAGTTTGCCTTACCTCACTTAAATTGCAAAGCATGAGCAATGACCTCGCCACATTATTTAGATAGTCTTTCGATTCTGGCCATTCCCTAGCCTAAATGAACGCGATAATTGTCGGCACGGCAACGTCTTTGGAAGGTGGATTGCCTTGTCTCAATCGGCCGGGTATTGATAGCATACAAAAGCAGACAGCACCTCAATAGACCTTTTTCTAAATTTCCCAAGCGCCGAGGTCCATGCTACGAGTGTAGTTACATGCATTGCACGTGCTGGCGTCTGCGGTAGTAATTGTTCTAAAGCAAAAAGTCGAAAACAAATTTTGCCTTGCACGCGCGTTCGTCAAAGCCTTATTATGATTATTTACTTGGAATCTATGGTCCGCGGGCAGGCCGCAGAATTACACTACCAGCGTTCTCGATGCTTGGGCAATTTAGAAAAAGGTCTATTGGAATGCTGTCTGCTTTTGTGTGCTATCAATACCCGGCCGATTGAGTCAAGGCAACCCACTTTCCAAAGACGCTACCATCTCGACAATTACCGCGTTCATTTAGGCTTAGGAAGGCCAAAATCAAGACCATCTAAAAAAATGCGGCGAGGTCATTGCTCATGCTTTGCGATTTAAGTGAGGTAAGGCAAAGCAAAAGCCTCCTGCACCATTCGTTGCTGACTAACGCGCCTGATATTGCAGCTTCAACAACATATTTGTTCCAAAGCGAGCAGCGCTCACTCACCGGGGCACCGTCATGTTTCCCCGCATCCCTACCGAGCCAGTCACGTGATTTAAAAATCCCTCTCCTAGTTACTGCGGCTAACTTTAGCCGCGGTTAGTGCTTCGAGCAAACAGGCCCAGCCTTGCTTGTTTTGTCACTAAAATTTTGTGTCCTTCTTGAACAACAATCCAGCCCCAAGGAGTGGTGCTGTCTCCACCTGTGTGCAGCAGGTAGCTGCACAGCTGGCAAGTGACGTCTCTTTGGAGATGCCTGAAGAGGCGGTGGAAGACCCATGCACTCAAGACTCCATAAAAGGTGTTAATTTAATTGTTTGGCTGGAGTGTTCAGACCTCGAGGTCTACAAAGGCACTGCAAAATAAATTAGGATTCCCAAAAAGATTGGATCATGGGCAGCTGTGCCATCACAACAAATATTGACTCATGGGACTATGAGCTGCTGCTACACACCAGCATGTGTACTAGGTGGTTGCTGTGATACCGTGAAGGAAATTAAGTATTTAGATTATTATAGCCCTTCATATACATTTTTGAACTAAGGAAATAGCTTAACTCTGCTTAGGACATCGGAAAGAAGTTTGCTTTCTTTATTTGTTAAATCCGATAACATTTCTTTCGACTACCCCCCCCCCCCTTCCTGTTATCTCAGTAAAATTATGTAAGTCTTATAACAAAGAATGACTGTGTATGTGCAGGATTAATTAAAGAAGATACAGTATATGCACCAGTCTACACTAGCTCCCAATTATGAGCTTGATGCTGTACACCTGTGCAATCTGCTACTGGATGGTGTAGATGACAACGTTTCAGCTGCAGTACATAAGTCACGCAGCTGACATGGAGTGAATGCATGACGTATGTATGAGCCCCCTGCATTTCATCACGAAATTACGCGTTTGCAAGTTTGGTCTTAGGGAGCCACCATCTTGCCCAGTGGGGTGCGCTTGGGTGTGGCCATAATCAGATTATGACGCGTCCAAGCGCACCTCAACCGAGCAGGATGACAGTGCCCTGAAGCCGGACTTGCAAACATGCATAGAAGCTCTCCACAGGGGTACCAGTTAAAGCTACCCACTCCTGCTCATACTATTGTCAGTTAGTCATTGCGAGGGTAAGGCATAGTGTTGGCATGCTTTGCCCTCCATTTGGCACCAGCAAAAATTTAGTGTACTTTGAGCTTACAAGTAAATTCAGATGACACATTATGTGCAGAATAGGGCAACTTCACTCAGCATAAGATTCATGTATCTATCTGTGCTTCCTTTACAGAAATGGAGAAGGATGCCGCTGTCGGCCTAATCATGATGGCTGGGAATCCTGAGGTGTCCAAGCTGCGTGACCTGCAGATGGCCAAAATGCAGCAGGTCATTCTTGATCTGCAAGCAGACAAACAACGTCTCGAAAGGCAGGTTTGCCACCTGCAAGCCAGGCAGCTTAGTCTCAACACTATCCAGGAGCCTAAGAACTGTTTATATTATACTGGGCTGCGTGAGTTTTCAGTTTTTCAGAATTTGTTTAATTTTCTTGAGCTTCGGGCAGCCAAGATGACCTACTGGTTAGGTAACAGAAAGACAGCTGGTGAGACCAAAGACCGCACACGGGAAATGTCTCTGATTGACGAGATTTTTATGGTCCTCGTGCGGTTAAGGACAGGGATGGCAGGCAAGGAACTGGCCCGCAACTTCAACATTTCTGAAGGGCAGGTAAGCAAGGTGTTTGTTACGTGGATCAAGTTTCTCCAGCGACAGTTAAGGGTACTGTTACAGTTTCCGACAGTTGCTGAGATTCAGCCCAACCTCCCTAATGCCTTCCACAAGTTTTCTAACACGAGGGCTGTCCTTGATGGAACTGAGGTACGTATCCAGAAGCCGTCGTCGTTGCTTGCTCAGAGGCAGACCTTCTCGCCCTACAAACACTACAACACCTACAAAGCGGTTGTTGGATGTACACCCGAAGGGTACATTTGCCATGTTTCACAACTGTGGGGTGGGACTGTGTCAGACAGAATGATAGTTGAGGAGAGTGGGCTCGTGGATCAGTTGGAGTCGGGCGATGCCATCATGGTAGACAAGGGATTCAAATTTAATAGCCTACCACCTGGAGTGCAAGTGCACATTCCGTGTTTCAGGCAGCCGAACGAACCTCAGATGCCGGAGGAAGATGTGGCACACACCCGGCGGGTGGCCAGTGCACGTGTAGTTATTGAACGCGCAATCGGAAGGATTAAGCAATTTCACTTCCTTGATCGACCCTTCCCCATCTCCATGATAGATATTGCAGATGAGGCGTTTCAGGTTTGTTGCTTTTTAAGCAACTTTCGTATGCCACTCAGCCGTGCTGAGTAGCAGCAGGACATATGTGTCGGCTTCAGTGGCAACCTTCAGCTTGATAAACATTTTAGAATAACTTCCTTTTTGTGGTTGAACTCCAGGGTTTTGTTTTTAAATGCAGCACGTCGGAGATGGTTTTGAGGTACTCTAAATGGACCACAGGGTTCCGGAAAAGTTCTCACTTTAGAGCCATCAGTGAGCAGCGAGAACTCATCCGCTCGCGACCACGTGCTGGCGGGCGCCGCGCAAACAATATGGTAAAAGTAGGAAAGTCTCATCCGGGTCCGGCCACACCCGTCCGGCCCTGTCCCCCTCCCCCTCCGGCTTCTGGCGGCTGTTCGCGGTAGCAGAGAGAGCCGACGCTTTTGTGGATCTAGGATAGATGGCGCCACTAAAATTCCGTATAGTAAAAGTTTTGTCGATGATACCAGATTTTTGACGCATTTATATGCATTTTGGAAGTACAACATTTATAGAAAAGTTACCTTTTATCGAGCAGGTATTCGCACAACTTGCTATCTTTCTACAAGACTCCCCATTGACGTCACGCCGCGTGTTTCTCATGGCCGCCGCTCGCGGCTGCAGGTCGGGGAATACGTATTCTAAGTTTTGCCTCGCTAGTACGTGGCGGAATCGCAACATTTCGACGAAAGGAGGTGTGTTTTCTGTCATTTGTGACAAGGTGAACAATATCAAAAGCAGAAGATGCCAATTCTTTCAACGTTAAAATCGTTGCACAGCTCCTTTAATATTAATGTAATAGAAGGTTGTTTCTCGTGCACCAACGACTTCGGTTTTGGAATAATACCCTGGAACAGTAACACAATGCATCTCGCCCCTCTTTTCACTATTTGTCTCGTGCCCTTAAAGGGATACTACAACGAAATTTCGGCGCTCATTTTTTGGTCTATATGTGTTCAAAAAAGCAGCATCACATCGAACATACCAATATCTTGTTAAAAAAGTCATGAAAAGAAATTTAAAACGAATTAAACGATTAACAAAGAGCACCTGGTGGATGTCGCTAACGCCTCGCTTGTAATGCCCGTCTAGGAACCTTGACAGCTAGTGACGGAGGTTGTCTCGTCTCCGGCCACTACGAGAGAAGAGGGGCAGCAGGAACTCCCCTCTTCCCGAGAATGCCTTTTGTGTGTCGCAGAAGTCGCTATTGTCCCCCTACAAGATTATAGAAGATTAACCCGTCACTCAAAATTCGTACAAAAGCAGCCGCTTCGGTGGCTGGAACGACTAGGCCATCCTCTCGACGTCAGTCTCGCCGTAGCTTTGCTCGTCTTGAGACGACCTACGTCACGATTGCGTTGGATGTCACGTGTTCTCCGCTCGGCCTTCTCCGAGCGCTTGCCAGAGTGCGCCGTTTATAACGAAAAATACAGCCACCAGGCTCAAAATACAAACGTGCCATTGTCATTTACGGATATTGTGGATCATATTCAACCTATTTTTGAACACGACGGGAATATTTCAAATTTCGTTGAAGTATCCCTTTAACTCTCACTGGGGGACATCCCCTTTAGATGAGAGAAATTTTGCAGTACGACCGCTAGCATATGGTCTCTAACGTGCATCATGCAGTAGTAATAACACTAACGCATCCTGGTTTGATGCTCATAAAAATTAACGGGGGTGGTAATCGTACCTAGGATCCCTGGGCTTTGTGATTAGAGCTTTCGCTTTACATGCTTTGTGCTGTGACATGCTATGCTCCATTTCACAATAACTTGGCGAACTATGGAGGCTGCGGCCCCCATGATCCAATAAGAGCGTCGGAGCAAGTCACATGATAAGACTCCATGGTTGAGGCCTCCGAGGCGTCGTTTTTGGGGGCACCGAGATGTCGCCAAAGAGTTGTTCAATGTTTCATTTCTTTCTTTTTTGTGCTAACTGAACTTGAGTGATTCCATCTTTATTAAGAATAAATATAAAAAAATTAATGAAAAAAAATATTGACAAATTTTAATGATATTTAAACCGAAAAAGTAATGCGACATTTGTATTCAGTTCGATTTTTTTTTCTTCTTGTAGTGCCGTGGCCGTTGGTGATTGCAGCCGTGTAATCAGCCGCTTGCAGGGCAACTATGGTCGAAAACGGAACCAAAATAAATTACTGGTACCGCTTTAGTGGCACAACTCTCGGCCTGCAGACAACAGCCAGTTCCTTGGTGCAGTGACACACACGCTTCCGCTATGTGGTTTTATGTGCCTCGCTCCGACGCTCTTATTGGGTCGCGGAAGCTGTAAGCTCCACAGTTCGCCAAGTTACTATGAAACAGAGTAGCACACTTGGTCACCGTTCCCCCCTAGTGCCTGCCATGATTGTCCTTAATCACATTTGGCTGTGATCCGCAATTGGCATACGAGTTTAGATTAGATATATCAAAGTAATAGATGTCCTCATTTCATTATTTCATGTGTGTGGTCTTTGGTCTCAATGTCTAATGGGCTGTGCATTTTTTTGTATGATTATACATCTTGCCAGTGTGTTTTAGGAGTGCAACAATTATTATGACTATAGCTGCTTTTTACAGTGTCGATCTAAAACTCACTATCTTCCTTATGCAGTTCGGGCTATTGCTGCCTCATAGTTAGTGTGTTGAGTTCGGTCATATTGTGCATCAATTTTTACTTAAATCTGCTATGTGGGAAGTACATGAATAGATAACGTCAATTATCTGCTGTGCATCACTGTTCACATTTATGATTCTAGTAACTTTGTACAGCGTTATCAGGAACTTGCTCTTTGGCTTTAGTTTAGTATGCAGTTTGGGTGATTACTGCCTCGGAGTCTTTGTGTTCAGCTGGGTTATGTCCAGAGTTTCCTTATTTGAAAAACTCTCGTGCACCAATCTTTGGTGTTTGAATATATTGCTTGGGAAGTACATGAGTAGCTAGTGTGAATTCTCTGTTGTGCATCAATAGCGAGATTAAAGTTTGAATAAGCCAACGAAGTTTTGGCTACTTCGGGTCTTTTTCCCTGCAAAGTCGATTGTAATGTTAATGACTTTGACACGCTACCTCAACAAATCATGTGTTAATACAAGTTGGAGCTAGAAAATCTTTTTTTTTTGTTGTTTTTTACTCTGAACAGTCTAAGAAGGAATTAGCTCTGCTTGTTTATAGGCAAATGGTTTTCTATTTATTGTAATAAACTGTAAAAATGTAAACCACCACACCCTATGTCCTGTTTTTCTGCAGTAAACACCATTCTCAAAGACACGGGAGTGGCTACAAAAGCACTGCCCCTGACAAGCATATTTATTTGGCTCTGAAAAGAGCCGTTGTGACTTGGAGAAGCCTCGGGCTTCATGCAGGCGCTCCTTCACTCCAGCCTACGCAGCTTCTTTTTCAGTCCGGGACCGTCCTCCACCACATAAAACCCTTTGCAGAACTTCTTGAAGGAGACGTACTGGCCGCGAGCTATCAGGGCTCTTCGACGCCTCACACGGCCCGTTACCACTTCTGGGAATAGGGCATGCTTGGCGAAGTAGATAAGCCCTGGCAGCAGTGCTCCATCAACGAACTTCTTGTCGAAGGCGATGGTCTCGACGTGCGTCGAATTGGCAACAGTCGTGTTGTTAGTCCAAAAAACAAAATCGCACCACTGGTGTCCGGTCACTGCCATCTGCCCTTGCACCTGGTAGAAGTAGGCGTGAGTCTTCTTCAGTCGTACCACGCCATCCACAACTTCGCAGCAGAACTTCTTGTCCTTGCATGCCTCCATTGGTGTTAGCCCAATCTTCGAAGCCGGACACTTCACCTCCAAAAGGCCCTCTTCGTTGTCCTTCCTCACGATGCGGTCGGGCGATGCTGCAATGAAGCTGCACTCTGGGTGAATGTGCAGCCCAGTCTCGCGGATCTCGACGGGAGTGTCGAATGCTGCCATGAGTGATGCATAGGCTGAGACTGCGGTACCCTCGTGCGTCCTCCCATAGCGCATGGCCTCACTTGAGGCATCTGGGCTCGGGTACAAAATACCCTTGACCAGGTACTCGGGCTTGACACACTTGATGACAGCAGAGAAGACTGATGCCGTAATCCTGCCCTGCCGCTCTTTGTGCCACCTTGGATTATTGGCTTGACCGATGGTGGACCGGGTCACTTGTTCCCTCTCTTCCTCCGTCAATGTTGGAAGGGACTCCATGTGTTTTGCAACAACGTCCCGGGCATTCTCACTCCACAAATCTTCATCATCTTGGATGGGGAGCACTGGTGCCGC